AACCATGGGTTTCCTGTACAATGTTTGCCTTAAACCAACCCAATGACAACTGGATCAAAACCAGAACAATACTAAGGTTTGCACATGAAATTTGTGTTCAATGCATTTTCATCGCAAAAATGGATGTGTCATGGGATTTGAAAAGACCCATGCCACATCCCGAAATATTCAATGGTAAGACTCTGGGAACTACATATGCGATATTCCGGACGTCAAATATAATTTCCAATGAACATGCGCGACACTCAAAGGACTTCCGACCTCCCAAAACACATAACATGGAACGTGAACAAAACAGCTATCTCCATAAAGATGTCATCCATTCCATCTTTTTCAAGACATATTTCTAGAACTAGAACTAGACAAAGGCATGGGGGCCTCCACCAACCGCCCCCTCGGTGACCCCACAATTGATCCTTCAGATTTGCCAATGAATTTGCCCATATACATGGCGATTGAGCAAGCCTAGACATATTAGACTTACTGTGGATGGTTGCGAAACCTATAAAATCCTGCACCAGGCAGGGTAACTATTGGGAACTATAAAACACCATTAAACCACCATTTTCCTATGGCGGCGATTGAGCCAAAAAAAAAAGGTCTTGTTGGGGGTGTAGTTTCACGCATCCAAGAAACGAAGGCGGGATCGGAGGCTTTCATCTGGGGGAAGACCTCGCGAAAAGACGAGCTGAGGAGCTGTGAAAAAAATGGCTTGAAATGTGCTGACATCTGGTTGGATCACATAGAATTATCTATAAAATTCTACAAAGTTGGCGGATAACCACAAATTGATACTAATGATCATTCGGATAAAGAAGAACAACTTTTCGTTGTTGTTTCCTTCTGCAGCAAAGTACTTGCTAAATTGGTCTAGTCTAGAAGCAGCTTAACAGATGGGTGTGTGGATGTTTATGGTGGAGACTCTGCAATTCTTGGATGGTTTTATTAGATGATGAACCGACTTTAGGATTTTAAGAACTGTGCTTCACCCCACTTTTCAAGGAAAACGAACAAGGGTCGCAAGGTCTGGAATAGCCATCAGTGACACGATGTACCATCCCCAAAATTAACGTAGACAACTCATCTTCCAACCCCTATTTGGCAGGGTCTACGTTAAATGACTGAAGTGTAGATCTGGATAGAATTATCCGCAAATCACAATCTGTATTTCTTCGAAACCTATCCAATCTACCCATGAAATAAATGTAAATACTAAATACAAACGACATATCTATATATGATATATATATATAGTCTATCCTGACATACGGATGCTTTTCTTACAACAAATCTAATTAAAAACATATGTATAAATTGAATAAGCACAACAGGCCTTTATCTCAGACCCGATCTTAAGGCCGTGAAATTCATGAACTCTTTCTAGAGCCCAGAACGGAACAACATCTATAAGTTTGTTTGAAGCTGTTTTTTGTTGTCCAGAATTTCCAGATAGAGTATGGGTCTGATTCCCTTGACATATGGATCTATGATTAGCTGGATCATGGTCTCCCCAACACTGGCAGAGCTGGGACATATCAAAGTTGAAAGCTGGACTACAGTGCTACCTGTAATGTGGGTCTGAAAATTGGGTATAGCCTCAATCATCTTAAATCATGTTGAATCCACTAATTTCATCATTTTTCCCATAGTTTCCCTATGCAATTGCCAATTGGGGGCTGCACCCCATCTTCAAACACATTTTTTAGGCAAGTTTCCTGGGCTCGCCACACTGATGTTTAACATTGTTTAACCCCCCCGACATGTGAAACAACACGAAACAACATGTCAATGGCCATTCCAGGATCCTAAAATGGGGGTACCTATCATATATAAGGCCTATATAAGGCCTATGTAAGTGAATATCACCACAAATATATATATATAACCTTATATGGTACAGTACCTCCATTTTAGGATCCTGAAATTCCCATAGAACATGGAACAACATATTCCCAAGCCCAGTATGGTTTCAGGACTCAGGTCAGCCCAGAAATCCCAAGGTCATGACGAAATCCAACGTCTCTGCTGGGAAAATGTTGCGGGTGCAGGCAATGGTCACGTCCTCGGGCTCCCAACATCGGGACACATCGGGACAAGGGTGGGAGCATAGGGGGAAATAGAGGTACCATCTGGTTATTTAACATAGCCATGGAAAATCACCATTTTTAATAGGTAAACCCAGGTAAACCATCTATAAATGGGCCATTTTCCATGGCTATGTTAAATAACCAGAGGGTAAAATGTTTTTTTTTTATGCCCCATATTGGGCGATCATTGACCGAAATGTGGGCTGGAGCAACCCTGCCAGTAGAGGAATTTTTGTTTTGGAAGACACATGTTTTTAAAGACTGTGGCAGCCTTCGACGTAGCATACTGTTCCTACAGGCACTTTCTCTATGAGGTTGTACCTCCACTATCAGCTGAAAAAGGTATTCAGTAGCTCTGGCCTCATGCAATCATGCATAGCCATGCATCGACCCTTTCTTTTTGAATGTTTCAATGGGTTTAGAACATGTTCGAATCATTTTTTAACTAAGGCATTTAAACCCAATAGGTTGTTGAACCCAATAGGCCAATGGTCTAAAGTTTAAAACATATCAAAACCCATGTTGTTTTCGTCCTTTTAGAGCCCATTGTTCAATGGATTTTCTAAGCACACGGAATCACTACGAAGGCCTTCACTTTCCCACCCCGAAAGGCCTCTGGCGTGTCTGGCAAGTTCAGAGTGCAGTGCCACCAACCAGACGGAACGAAGATCTGGCCGGGTGTTGCTTGTAGAAAAAAAAACACTGGTGGTTGTGGGGACGGACTTTTCAAAAAATGATGGAGATGTCTCTATCTGGTTGGTGGTATACCTGCCCCTCTGAAAAGCATGAAAGTCAGTTGGGATGATTACATTCCCAATATATGGGAAAATAGTAGCCATTTTCCAAACCACCAACCAGTAACATGTTTTGGTTGTAAGAATTAATGGATGACAAGTTGATAGCTTTATAATGTTGTCGGTTTTTGTTCTGAAAGATAGTGGTATAAGAACATATCAACAATATAACTGGGCTCATAGACTCCCAGTTGGAGGGGAATGGATATTGGTGATCAAATCTATCCCAAAGCCAAGCAAATTTGCTAGCAGAAGTTGAGGTCTGAAAACTTGCAGAATCAGAAATGGCCAGGTTTTATGACAAAGATGCACAAGACATGCATTTAATGCATGGCCTCTCAGAAAGCGTTGGAGATGCGGACATAAAATCGTGACGGGCAAAATGCTATCGACATGACCAAGCTTCAAGACATCAAACAATCATTTGGGGGCTGAGAAGCTGTCATGTTTGTCAATTTTGCACTGCACCATCAAAAAAAATGATATAAAATTTAGAAATAAAAAAAAAAACGGTAAAAAAGCAGTTGCCATTTTTTTCCTTACCACGAACCACAATCCAACTGCTGAGGTTGAGCACCGTGTCTCCCGGGCACTGCAAAATATCGACCTCAAGCAGAACATTGTTTTCATTGAGGCATGATCCACCGATCCAATCCGATCCTCTGGAAGTGCAGAAAGAATTTTGGACTTCCAAACAATCAAATCAGTGCGCAACCAGGAAATTCACAAATTCGCATCTTGTTCCCAAACGATTGGATCAGCTGTCAAAACAATGGCGCTTGGGCCCCTCTGACAGGGTATTTGCAGATTCTACTGTTGTTGTTTTTCGAATGCAGTTCTACGAAAACGATGTATAAAAATGACAACTGATTCTTTCGACCGATGCGAGCCGAGCCTTTCGCCTTTCTCATACAGCACTGATGTGCAAAGCCAATCTTTCATCGTCCCTGTGATACGGGTTGAAAAAGCTAAGCAAATCTCCGGCCAAACATTGCCAGCTGGAAAATAAATTTGACAAATGGTTGATTTTCTAGCAAACCACCGTTGACTACTGGAGGGTATCTCCCCATTCTTGATCATTCTTGTTGGTGAATACCCCAATGAAATCCCCATGAGAAAGACCAGTTGTAGGAAAGTGTCCCATGATATTCCCATTAAAAATCGGTATTATGTTGGCTTACTGGATGAGACCATAATAGTCAACATAAAATACCGGGATTCATCAAAAAGTACACATCCAACTAGTCATAGTTCCCTTATTTTTTGGGGAATATGTCATGGTATCCCATGATAGTAGTTGTTCCCATGATACCCTCTGGTAAACGTTTACATAACTATGGAAAACCACCATTTTTCATGGGAAAACTCACTACAAATGGCCATTTTCAATAGCTATTTTGACATAACCAGAGGGTATCCCCCATCCAAGGACTCGGACTCGGCTTGGACCCCAGACCATCCCCAGCTTTTTGGCGGCCAAATGCGGATAGTGATCCAGCCACCAATAAGCCGGAGGACCACCGTCCTCCGAATAGCTGGTGATGGCCAATGGATGAGTTGATACAAAAAATGTTCAAGATATTATGTATATATATATATATGATTATATGTATGTTCATATGTATGTGTATATATATACATGATGATATATATATATGTTCATCCCCCCAATAGCGATCAAAAGATCAACTCATACCAAGGCTCTCCACTTTTGCTGAAGAAACCCTTAAGAAGTGCTCAAATTATTTCACATTTTGCGTCTTTGTATAAATTTCTATGGGTCAACTGTGAATGTCCTCGCGTTTTCTGCTTGCTACCCTCTGGTGATCAAGCATGGCAATAGAAAAAGAGTATTTATAGATGACTGTTCTATTTAAATGCCCATTTAGTTCGGAATCCCAGCCAGCCATGTTTGATGACACCGGCGGGTAACACTATGAAATCATTTTAAATACACATCAATGTCAGAAAGCAATTCACCGTTAAAGCATGTTGAAACCAAATTGTATATATATATATATACTGTATATAGAATTATATATATAATAATATATATATATATCATTATTATATATATATACACCATCCAACTCCAACTGCTGCGAATCGCCACGTTTGATCACAAGCTCTGCAGCTGCTCTTGGACGCTGCTGTTGTCACCTCCATCCTCTGAGGAACCCCAGCTGACCACCTTGAAGTTGGGATGGGGATGGAAGTGGGGCTTGGGATGATATACTTTGGGATTTACCCAGCTAGAAACTGGTGATTTTCCATGGTTTTTTGTATGTTTACCCATAGTTAGTACCCTCTGGTAAATTAACAGTTCGACCCTGAAAATTACAAGTTTTTAGTGGAAACTAATCTTCCAACCCCGACAACTGCCAGGGTCTATGTTTATTTACTGGAGAGTACTTTGGGAATCAAACAAATAAACAAATGCACCATATTACACCTCCAGAGTTCGAGCACCTAACATGTCAGAATCTGACGTGGAGATGCTTCTGTTTTGAGCAAAATTCACCCCTCGTGCTCCCGTTGACCTCCAATAACGTTATTCATCCAGGGTAGCCGTCTGTTACCGTCTGTTGGTGCCTTTCCACTCCTGTATTGTAGCACCAGAGGGCACCATGAAAATCACTGTTAATTACCATTACCCACCATCGTATGGTATACTGTTTATATGTTTATCATGTTTATCTCTCATATCCCCTACTTTGTAGGGGGGTTCCATCAATGTGGGTACCCCCCAAATGGATGGTTTATAATGGAAAATACCGTAAATACCATGAAAATGGATGATTTGGGGGTACCCCTATTTCAGGAAACCTCCAAATCATCATGAATCTGGGTAAATAATAATAATTCACTAACCTGAATTAAGGCCATTTGGGGATGATTTCCCTTATTAGCTATGATTACAGTGAGGTCGCAGTGAGGTCGCAGTGAGGTCGTTATAATTTACCCAGATGAGTGTTTTTACCCCCAGTGGCGTGGCCCCCGGTCCCCACCCGGCCCCACCTCCCCCCGCGTCGTCACCGCCGCGAATGCGCCATCCGTCGCCTGCAGCGCCATGACGTCATGCAGCAGGTGCTGCACCTCGCTGCTGTCCACGTCGCTGTCGTACTCCCAGGCGACACCCCAGGTGACGACCTGGGAAGCGGGGAAGTAATTTGTTCTATGAAAAATAGATGAAAATAGTCGAAAATACTGATGTTGACGGTGTTTTGTGACTAGAAGGGGCTATGGGATGAGCATTTTTTGACATGGGAACTTGAATAAAATTGATGGACATTGAATGAAATTCATAGACATCGTGCGAATATGTGCGAATATTACAGCGTTTCTGAAATGGCAAAGGTGACGACAATCACCCAGAAATTCGAAACCCCATATCACCATTTTGAGGGCACAACATGCCCCCACAATCCCCAAGCTTTCGATAAGAAACTCATTAAAATGATGATATAATTGGGGATACCTTATTTTAAACAATTAATTATAATGGGGGTACCTTATAATGCTAATCATGATAAATTGATGATATACCCCCTAATTATAATGATAATCATGATAAACCAACGTTTTTTTGGGGGTACCTGATTTTCACACCGACCCAAACAAAAGTGTTTGAAACCATGGAAGAGCGGCCGTGCCATCAGCTCTCATCGCAGCAAACGCGCGTGCCGTCGCCTGGATCTGCACCACGTCAGTGAGGCGCTCCAAGACTCTGCCTTGGGAAAAATGGCAGTGTGTCAAAACCCTGGTACCCCTGTAGTTCACATCAAAATAGCTGGGATTTATGGATGTGAATAACCCACTAAAAATGGTATTTTCATAGGTATTGATCCATACCCAAATAAATCAATGAAGGATCTTATGTGATTTTCCTCTTTATTGGTGATTCATGCCACTTACGAAGTACTGACAGAAGGTTAGTCCACCCTAGTTACAAGTGGATGAAGCCTACTTAGGATTCGCGACATGAACTACCAAGTAAACCTTGGGGGCCTGGTGTTTTGTTCGATTTGAGTTTGTTGACTGTCCATGACTATCCATGACTCTGCATTACATTGAATGAATGATAATTTTCATTTGATCCAGTTTTTATCATGGTGAATCAAAAAATATATGGATTAATTACCATGAAATATCCATAGAATGAACATACTCCTGCTGAGGCACTGGGGATGGTGGTTGTTGGGGTGGTTTACCAGACGTCTTCATTTTTTGGGGCCAAATTGGGCAAATCTCCATCAAAGTGGCCATGAAAATGAAGAGAAAATGGCAGAAAAAATGATTTCTCGAGCAAATCCATACCCATTAGATCCCATTAGGCTGTTTTTTGACGCCCCTTACGGCCCCTGACCCGTCCATACCGTCCATGGCTGGAACTTCCTGAACCCAAACCATCTCCAGGGACGTTCTACCACATGAATAGTACTAATCCCATCACCCGTTCATATTACCCTCTGGTAATTTAACGTAGCTATTGAAAATGGCCATTCATAGTGGATTTTCCCATTAAAAATGGTGGATCTTTCCATAGCTATGTAAACGTTTACCAGAGGGTAGTTACACCCCCATGCTATGGTCCCAATGGAATGTGCTAATTCCATGGTAACTCCCGAAACATCCACCATGGTTTCGTTTTAGGGGGTATCAAAATCTTAGGCTCATGGGATTAAAAAAACATCCCATTGAAAAAAAAAAACGATCCCATCGTCAGATCCCATGGATTAACATCCCATGAAGATCCCAACATCAAAATCTGGGATCCTCTGTCATCTCCTATCACAACTTAATTACCATCTGGTTAACAGTTCGCCATGGAGAGATCCACCATGCTATTCGCTAGGTAAACCATCTATTTCGATTAGGGCCATTTCCCATGGCGAACTGTTAAATAACCAGAGGGTATGTTCTAAACATATTCATATCCAAGTTACTGTATAGTTGTGGAAGTTGCGATAGATATGATTATGCCATAATACAGTTGCTATAAATAGCGTATCACTATCATGTGGTTGGGAAACTCTTAGTAGTTCCTTGGCTCTTCATGTGGAAAATGGATACCCCTAGCTCTGAATCGCCCCCTGCTAACCACCTGATAGACTATATATAATGTCAACCCCGGATTCATAAACCATGGTCTATTTAATTAAGGGGGTACTCCTCCAATAGTCCAATAGTCATAATCTGATACTTTTTTGTGGTACCCTCCCAATTCAACGGCCGAAAAAAGGGTGATTGAATCCAGGGTTGACATTACCCTCTGGTAATTTAACATAGCTATTGAAAATGGCCATTGAAATAGTGGATTTACCCATTGATAGCATGGTGATTTTCCATAGCTATGTGACAGTTTACCAGAGGGTATCATGGGAACAACTACTATCATTGTTCCATGACATACTGGAATATGATTGGAATATTACTGGAATATTACTGGACATATTGATGGGATCATGGAATACGAAATTTCTATAGAAATTTCCATCACCTCTCCGAGTTGCTGCTGTTGCCGCCACACTCCGGATGCCCCCAGGTAACGACTCGCGCGTCCGCTCGCAAGGCGGCGAAGGCCCGGGACGAGGATTGGATCTCCTCACGATGGCGACCACAACTGACACAACTGGGGAGCTGATGGCAACTAGTTTGGGATCCCACCAAAAATGGAAGATTTTTGGATATGTCGATCTATAGTCTAGAGATAATTAGATTACTTAGATGTTGTTTTGGTGTTTCTTGAGATGTATTTATACATCTACAGTATCTGCATGCACATGTGTTGAGATATTTTGAGATGTTCTGAGTGTTGAAGCAAATTTGACCCGTCTTGTAGTCATCCAATTTTGCAAGCAAAAAAGAGTTTCGGCTTCATAGATCCCAGGGAACCAACTAGTTTGTTCATGTTTTTATCACTATATCCCATGGAATAGTACCAAACAAATCCTGCAAAAAGCTGGAGAGTCATCCCAAGATGTTTTCCATAGAGGTAATGTCAACCCCGGATTAATAAACCATGGTTTATGAAAATTAGGGGGTATTCCCCCAATAGTCATGATTTGATACTTAAATGGTACCTTCCCAATTAAACAGCCTAGAGGTTTATTAATCCAGGGTTGACATTATTGACCATGATTGACCCCTGGCGATCAAAATTCAACCCCAAATTAGGATGGTATCATGTCCCCGAAATGTCATCCCTGAGCATATGGTTTGTTGATAGGGATTCCCAAATCATGGATTTTTTTCATATTTGGGGTAGTATAACCCGTATAACCCCTTACATTGTGGATGATATATGATTCTGATCTATTTATATATATATATATCTAATTATGTAGTTAATATCAGTTATATATATACATAATATAATATATATATATATACATATAATAATAATATGTATATATATTATACATGGTAGCATAACACCCAACAACTCATCATCAACCAACAGGGCTCCTGGACATCTACGAGTTCTTCCTGGACCTCGCTGCTGTCTCCGCCACTCTGAGGATCACCCCAGGTCACCACACGCCCATCTGCTCCTGAGCAGGTTAGATGACCAAACGCGAATCCCCAGTGAAATTCTGAACAAACATATGGGAGATATACTGCAAAACCGGCATCTGTTTAATCTGTTTAAAGGGAAAATGATGAGAATGAGCAAAAAAAGTCAAACCAATCCATGATGACACTGTGCTGTGTGATGCTGGCCATCTTTTTGGATCTGGTTCCGATCCCGCTGGAAGCCAACATATCGATAGAGAACATTCACGAAGTTACCAATTCCCCAAGCATTCCTCAACCCAAGGGTCGCAAGGCTGCAAACGCCTGCCAAGTAGATTGGATTTTCTGCACGTCCCGCAGCCTCGGTTGACAACATCGGTGTTTCCCCAAGACAAGAAATAGGGGTACCCAAAAATCAAAGCTCCATATGAAAAAAAAATATCATATTGATGATTAAAGAATATGTTCATCTGACTTTTGGATGATAATCCCCTTCATAATACCAACAATGTGGACCAATGATATCCATCCATATCTCATGGCCTTTGGACTAGCCATGACTTTTCCAAAGCTTCCCATGGATACCCAGCAACTGATCCTGCACTGCCTGGCAGTCCCCGCCGCACTCCGCAGGGCCCCAGGTCACCACTGAACCATCCCGGCGGATCGCTGCGAACGAACGGAAGGATGCAGCGATCTCACCTGAGATGACGGTGCCAGAGGCCATCCAAACAGAGCAGTTCTATCCAGTGGGACCCCTGGGATGTACAGAAAAATTGGATGTTTTTGTTGGTAAAGAATCATCAAGATTATCATATTGACATATTAATCATCTATTAACCATATAATAACCATATAATAACCATATATTAACCATATATAAATCATATATTGACCATATATATAATAACTATATATACTGATATTTGATTTTGATTTTATCACTTGCTGTAAGGTTTACTCAATGATCCAATCTCAAGATCCTGAGTTTGGACCGTCACATAACCAAATGCCTGGTCCCAAAGATGGAAAAGAAGGCCTGAGTCCAAGATGTCCCTTGGGGAACTTGCCTCACATCTCACCATACATCACAAGCAAAATCTTAGATACGCTACCCAGCAACAAATTCTGTGGTTAGACTTAGTATCCTACATTGACCTATGACCAAAAATGAACGACCGTAACAACAATTTACCAAGGTTCACCCTAAACACGACCAAGTCGCGGATCTCCTCATGAGCCAGTTGCTCTGCCATTTCGCCACTGGCGCCGTAATGTTCCTGGAGCTGGGCAATCTGCCCTTGATCATGTAGAGATTCATGTACTCCCTTAAGTTGCTTGGAAAACATTAAAAAAATCACATGGGTTTGTCTCAAAAGGAAGATCCCGAAACACTTGATGGCTTAGGAGCCTCATTTTGCCCATATTAAAACAGCCAGGTTATGGAAGTAAATCCCGCATTTTCAGACCCACCCATGGCTTGAAACAGTCGCAAGTGTCATTGCCCCAGGTAACAATGCTACCATCAGCCCGAATCGCAGCGAAAGCTTGTCCTGAGTTCTGGCAGAAGTTCCCCACTCAATGGTTCCCTGCCAAATTGGTTTAATGGGTTCAGATTTTTCATGGGATCAATGGTAGAGCATATATTGTTTACCCATCCAATCCCAAAAAGGCAAGTTACATCGAGTTGGGTATGGCTACGGTACCACTCAGATGCCCAAAAGGCATAAGTTTCAGGCACCTATTTTGAGGGCGTTGGCTTGGCAGTGTCACCATGTGCGTAGTTGCATGGGGTGCCCAAAGAATGTTCAATGAACCAATTCTGAATATCTCCTCCTAGGACCAAGAACATGCGTTCTGTATATTCATGGCTTAATCTAACTACCCTGCAAAGTCCAACAAAGTCCAACATGCACACAAAAATTCTGATTTAATCCCGTCTCCATCCATGTTTGTTCAAGGAAATTTCATCCAGTGACCCACCCGTGGCGCATGGAGTTTACCGAGCAATTCATGTGGAAACTCCAATAATGAATCCAACAATCCCCAAGATTTCCATAAATGGCGATGTTTCAACCGTCCCCAAAACTGCAGTTGTATATATTATCATTATTCTTCTCATTATGATCATAATTATTAACATAATTATTAACATAATAGTTAACTTATTATTAACATTATTGACATTATGATCATTATTCTCATTATGATCATTATTACATGTATGATCATTCTTATCATTAAATTTCCAGTGAAAACCAGGCGTCGCGTCGATTGAATCTGCTCCACGCCCTGCAGTTGCTCTTGTATCGATCGGCTAATCCCACCACCACCGAAGGACGAACCCCAGGGAATGACGCGACCGTCGTCCTTGCCACGTAGGTAGGTTTGAACCGTGCGACCGCCGGTGATGAATATCCCCACAACCAAAACACAAAAAGTGGTCCTGGGGAAGATTGACAAACTTTGTTGCAAGAATAGTCCTGGGTATGCCCCATTGAATAGTAACATAATTATAACCATCATTAACCATCATTAACCATCATTAACCATCATCAATCATCATTAACCATCATTAACCATTCATCAATCATCATTAACCATCATTAACCATCATCATCAATCATCATTAACCATCATTAACCATTAACCATCAATCATCATTAACCATCATTAACCATCATTAACCATCATTAACCATCATTAACCATCATTAATTAACCATCATTAACCATCATTAACCATCATTCACCATCATTCACCATCATTCACCATCATTCACCATCATTAACCATCATTAACCATCATCCCATCACTCATTAACCATCATTAACCATCATTAACCATCATTAACCATCATTAACCATCATTAACATCATCATTAACCATCATTAACCATCATTAACCATCATCATCATCATCATTAACCATCATTAACCATCATTCAATCATCATTAACCATCATTAACCATCATCATCATCATTAACCATCATTAACCATCATAACATCATTAAACATCATTAATCATCAGCATTAACCATCATTAAATCAATCATCATTAACCATCATTAACCATCATTAACCATCATCAATCATCATTAACCATCATTAACCATCATCAATCATCATTAACCATCATTAACCATCATCAATCATCATTAACCATCATTAACCATCATCAATCATCATTAACCATCATTAACCATCATCAATCATCATTAACCATCATTAACCATCATCAATCATCATTAACCATCATTAACCATCATTAACCATCATTAACCATCATTAACCATCATCAATCATCATTAACCATCATTATCCCTACATCAATCACATCAATCATCATTAACCATCTTAAAACCAATCATCCAAATCATCTTAAAACCATCCATTAACCCTCATTAAACCATCAATTAACCATCATTAACCATCAAGAGACCATCATCAATTCTCAGTACCATCATTGACCATCATTAACCCTCATTAACCATCTTAACCATCATAAATCATCCATTAACCATCATTGACATCATCCATCATCATTAACTCATCATTAACCACATCAATCAATATATTAACCATCATTAAACCTCATCAATCAATCATCATTAACCATCATTAACCATCATTAAACATCATTAACCATCGTTAACCATCGTTAACCATCCTTAACCATCGTTAACCATCGTTAACCATCATTAACCATCATTAACCATCATTAACCATCATTAACCATCATTAACCATCATTAACCATCATCAATCATCATTAACCATCATTAACCATCATTAACCATCATTAACCATCATTAACCATCATCAATCATCATTAACCATCATTAACCATCATCAATCATCATTAACCATCATTAACCATCATCAATCATCATTAACCATCATTAACCATCATCAATCATCATTAACCATCATTAACCATCATCAATCATCATTAACCATCATTAACCATCATCAATCATCATTAACCATCATTAACCATCATTAACCATCATCAATCATCATTAACCATCATTAACCATCATCAATCATCATTAACCATCATTAACCATCATCAATCATCATTAACCATCATTAACCATCATTAACCATCATCAATCATCATTAACCATCATTAACCATCATTAACCATCATCAGGATAGTCCTGGACGTCTTTTTTAATGGGCCATACCTCCCATCCATGGTTGATGTTTCTTCGAAAAAATTGGGTGATTTATCATCAAATTAAGGGTACCCGAAACATCCATAATCACGACTCACACATGTAGTATAAGTAACTATTAAGTAATCGAGATCATATATTAAGATATGTGTATATACCTATAGTTATGTTACAATATAATCTATGATTAATATGCATTAATAATGTGCAACAAAAAATGGAATGCATCCCCAGTTTAAGTAGTGGTTTGCCGTCCTTGTTTACAAACTGAGATGTACATCCAAGGTGCTAAAATTGCTGCAAATGCTGAGTCCGTGGATTGAATTGCCTTGACCTGACACGTCATGGATGGAACGAACATCTCCAGCAACCATGGCTGGAAGAACTGTTCGGAAAATGAGGACATAGACTGGAAAAATGAAGATCACCCTGAGTTTGGGGTGCTTATCATCCAGTTTCGGAAAAAAAACAAGTGCAACCACTTGCAAAGCTATGTTTAATTGAAAAACACCGATAGACAAATAATTAATCGGAGGATACCTACCAGTTGTGTTCTCATGCCTCTCACCATGATGTGTGCACGCCATGTGAGGCTTCAATCCAAGCCTGCTGGTCCCATTCAAGGCAAATCCTGCATCAAAATGTACCAGCTTGTACCAGCGACACTACTGCCGGCCTTGACTTCAAAACATTGGGTCCATAAAACTGCTATTTTACCCTCTGGTAAACTAACATAACTATGGAAAATCACCATTTTCAATGGGTAAATCCACTATAAATGGTCATTTTCAATAGCTATGTTAGTCATTACCAGAGGGTACATCATGATACTTGGGAAAATGGCAAGTATCCTACAGTATGTCAATTCAAAAATACCACCACCCCTGGACCCAGGATCAACAGCGATTTAAATATCTGCGTTCTATGCATTTCAAGTGTATCCCTAAAGTGTATCCCTAAAGATATATATATATATACACAATATACATATAATTACATATTATATGTATATAATTATAGATCATCAATATTATCATTGCTATGTTCAACACTATTACTATTAGTATTATTTATCACTATTATCGCTAGTACTATTATTATTATTGGTATGACTATGACGATTATTATGACTGTACTATTGCTACTACGAGTATCACTCTACTATTGCTATTACTGTGTTCGTCACTATTGTTATGTTTGCTCTACTTCTACCACTACCACTACGACTACTACCACTACCACTACCACTACCACCACTACCACTACGACTACCACCACCACGACTACTACTACTACTACCACTACTACTACTACTACTACCACTACTACGACTAATTACTACTATTATTATCAGTATGATCATTACTTTTGTACCAAACATGGATACATCGAGGTCCGCACCTTGGTGAGCTGCAGCTCGCACTCCCCGCCCATCATGCGATTGCCCCAGGCCAGCACCGAGCGAGAAGGCCCCAGGATGGCAGCGAAAGCCCCTGGGCCGAACCACGTCGCAGCGGGTGGAGAGTCCACCGGCCAAAATGGCGACTTCCATGGCTTCAATGGGGATTTTACATGATTTTAGCCTCTGGTAAACTAACAGAACTATGTAAAATCAACATTGATAGTGAATTTTCCCATGAAAAGTCATGCTAGTTTACCAGAGGGTAATGATGTTTTAGCAATTCTATGGTGATTTCTTCTGGTTTTGGGAATGGGGAAATTGGAAAGGGATATAAAACTAACACAATTAGTTGGGTGTGTCTGATTTTTTGGTATACCTCCCGAATTGCTATTTGCTATGGGAAAGACAGGAGTATTTTGTTGGACCAAATGTTGCTAAATATGTCATTTTTTAGTGACTGGCTTCTGAAATTTAGACAGGAGCGACTTGGGGTCATGCGCAGTAACAAAACACATTCTCTGTAGATTCCCCACATTAATCGGATTTTCATCGGATTCGCATCATGGGACAACGCCAACTTTAATCATCATCAACTCGGAAAATCCGATTAAGATCCTGTGGATCATGATGGCATCAAAGCGCTGGACCCCGTTTTAATCATCCAACATTTATCAATTGGCATGGGGGAAACCAATAAGTCTGGGGGTTTGGCCCAAGTCTAAGACAAAGATATACATCTGAGCACTTCAAAAAACACCATAATATCATTCCATAATATTCCATGTGTATATAATATGTGTATTTGTGTATATATATATTATACATATTCCATTATATATGCTGGTTGGCTATTACTAGGGATCCCGTGATGGATTGTGGCAATTCCCCAGAGAAAACCGGTAGGTTCATAACTCCCGAACTAATCGTCAACCAACAGGGGTTTATTAGTTTATAAAGCCATTAGACTAGTTCAATATAATATATCTATATATATCTACCATAAACCGTAGTCAACCTAGTTGTAAAGTTATAAACCAACTTAGCAAAGGACTGGGGGTGTAGTTCCGGTTGTATGTGGTTATAATGTGTATGTATATATATATATATGGTTGTAGGGGTTATATCCCAGCTTATTTATTGCCAATACTGCACAACCATTGACAACCATCCAAGCTTTATAACCATGGTAATAAACACTACAGTAATTTAAACCATCACAAGTATACTAACATTCAATGGATTGGTTTAAGGGAAAATCTTAACCGGAAACCATAGATTTCCCAATAAAAAATATGGCGTTTTTCTTGTAATTTTTCCCTTAAACCAATCCATTGAAACATGAATAGCCACAGTTTATTCCCATCCAGAACGAACTGCATCCCACCGAACCTGCCGAGGCTTGGATCTGCTTCACATCTACCAAGTCCTCTTGCAGAAAACTGCTGTCGCCACCGTAGGACGCATGGCCCCACGTCAAAACCCTGCCGTCCTTGGCATAGGTACAAATTTAAGAAATGATATGGGATGATTATGGACTATTATAGTTATTATGGCATTATTATGGCATTATTCTGGCATTATTACGGCATTATTATGGATTATCATGGCATTACTATGGCATTATTATGGCATTATCATGGCATTATTATGGCATTATTATGGCATTATTATGGCATTATCATTGCATTATTATGGCATTATTATGGCATTATTATGGCATTATCATTGCATTGTTATGGCATTATTATGGATTATCATGGCATCAATATGGCATTACTATGGCATTATTACAAAATTGGATTTTCTGTCGAATCTGCTGATTTGGGGAGCATGGATTACTGCCAAGCAATGATTCTTAGCCTCCACAATGCTCTCTCACAGACTGAGCTTGGCTCAAGAACGCTTCGATGCTGCTGATTTGTGTTCTCTTATCTCTACCTCTTCGTGTGAAAATGATCAGCCCCTTTCAACTTGGTTGGCTTGAGAAAAGTCTTTCAGGAAACGATAGATGTTAGCAGGCAAAAAGATGAATGGTATCCTATCAATCTTCCCTGAATTCCGAGCGAGGATGGTCGGTTCAATTTTTTCTCATTGCCTGGAGAACCCAAAACCTATAAACTATAAACATATATAATAACATATATATATATAATAAAAAATAATGGTTCTTGGGTAAAAAGCAGATTTTTCTCTAAGAAACACCATCTCATTGAAATTTCACCAAATCCCCTGCATTTACCTCCAATCCCCCGAAGTCCAGCCTTTTTATCCTTTTTCCTTCCAGATCCTCCACCCCTTTCCACCCCGCTTGGGTCAGTTCTTGGATCTTAAAGTCTCCAGATCCCTCAAAGTAAAAAACTCGCACTAGTTACATTCAGGAACCATGGCCAAAAACCCATATTTTTCCTTCGGGTTGCTGCGGGATAAATACGGATTACGAGATTGTTCTACCGGTATCAAAGGCTATTTTTGTTGGGGCGACCTTCAAAATATGGCTTTACTACGGGTTTTGCATACGGGTTTCTCTGATTTCCATTCTTTTCTGCCACAAAAAGTCCAGTGTTTCCATCATGTTCAAGGAAACCCAGCCTGCACCGAACCAAGTTCGATAGTAAATGGATCCGAATTGCTGGGCGGCCATATAAAGTTGCCTCGAACCAGGTAGGTAACCTTTAAAAATCTCATGATTTGGATGCACATATCTAAGAACATGATATCCTATGATGATAACAGACAAAACTAAATTCAATGACATGAATAATATGGTATGAAATTATGTTATATGACATAAAGCGAGGCTCTATGATATAATCCATGGGATAAATATAGTTTTGTGTGAAAATAAAAAGTTTTTGTCATGACTTTGCAAGAAAACCATGTTTTTTGATTGCGACCTACATTTTTATAGGTTTTAGGTTCTTTAGGTAGAACAACCTCAATTTGGGGATACCTGAAATTGGGTATATTTGCCAGTATACCATATACCCCAAACCTCCAAATCGGGAAACTGATGTTCCAATCCTTTTCGACTTGTGGATAAAACCGAGTGTCAAGCACAAACCCAAATAATTACTCATTGGTTGTGGAAATAATACAATATATCCCAGTACATATACTTGGCAAATATCCCCATAGCTATACAATGTAACATGTAATGGTTTTCCGATCAAATCACCCCTTGTTTGATACGACATTCCATTGAATATCAATTACATATAAGATATTATAAGATTATATAAGTCCGACTACCTTTTTAGTGGATATTTGATGGTTTTATCCCCATTGTTCTATTTGATTCTACTTGTATCCCGGCCAGGTCATCCCTATGAAATTCATCGAAATCGGCCCCTTTCGCCGCGTCTCCGCCAGAATGGCCGCGAAGGCCTTCTCCGTGGCTTGGATCTGCCGCACGTTCCGCAGCTGTCTCCAGGCGTCGTCGTCGATCGCACCACCGTAGTTGGCGTCGCCCCAGACCACGACACCGCGAAACGCGCAGAGGGCGAAGGCAGAGGAGTTGGCGGCAATCCTGGGATGACCACGGAATTTGAGGATCCTTTAAAGAGAGGAAACAGTGGTTTTTATGTGCTTTTACCAATCAAATGTTGGAATAAATTGTGCAAATTCTCTCTTAAACCTATTCTGATGCGTTGAAACACCACCAAATGGTGATATCATAATATCACCATCATGTATTATTGTAATTCTCAAGAAAAACATTGACAAAGCAAATACCGTCGTTATGGCACAAAAAACTGATGTTTGCAGCTGGAACTTTGGGAAAATGGTCGCTACATCTCTTTGTATGGGCAATTTCGTCCTTATTCGAAGTGGCTTAAGCTATCAGCATGCAAACGATACTATGTTGCGTCCCCATTCTCAGAGGCTTGACTTGATCTCACATTCATCACCAATCCTTAAATGATATCTTCATCATTATTCACATTCTTGTGTTGATCACTTAGCAATTTAAACTTGTTGGATTATGCTTCAACCCCATCAACCCATGGCCCAGGGCTCCGTGGAATTTGAACCACTGCAGTGACCACATCTCCGTCTTTGACGCCCTCTTCCTCCAGGCTTCTCTCGGGTTCCAACAAACGCCCTGTGGAAGATGTGAGCCGCAGGAAACCCTGCGAGAAATGCCTCAGGGCAGGAAACCAATGGAGGATTCTCATGGATCTCCATGGATCTTCCATGTTTCTGTCAGGCTTTGGATTTCTTATCATTACTATATAACCGTTATTAATAGTAAGATCAATTATCCTGATTGGCATTATTATTAAAGTATTGTATTATATGATATTTATTGTTATCATGTTTTCCATATTTGTAATATATGTATTGTTGTTATCAGTTACGGGTGCTAATGGGTAGCGTCGCGAAAATTATTACTCTTATTATAACACAAGCAAAAATTACGCCATTCATAAGAATGGAATGTACCTGGTCCATGGCGTCTCGTTGATTTTTCCACTTAGACTGCACACTTGGTGTAGGTCCCTTAAGTACTATTGCCACTGTTTGTTGTATGAAAATGTATCACGCATTTGTGTGCAAATTGCTTCCCCGCCCTACAGACAAATGAGAAGGACTGCCAAGCGACTCTTGAATTTCAAGCTTCAGACATTGCACAGTGGAACTTGCATCAGTCTGCACTTTCCAAGTTCGACCACTGGCCAAACATACAGATACTTCCATTGGCCAGATATGGCCAGATTGCTCAAGCAAAATTAACACTCATCGAGGTACAAGTATACATAGAGGTGTGAAGTGAGTTCCAGGCAAATGTTCACAGTCATCTTGTTTTCACAATATAGAAAGTAATGCATGACTTTGTTACCAAAAACTTTAGTATGTCCATCATGCATCTATACGTATCCACCTTTTAGGTGCTCACAAAGTTTGACTCGAAAAGTCACATGACACTCCAGCAACGTTTCTTTTTGCTGAGCCAAGAATAGCAAAACAAGTGGAAATCAGGAGGGAGGACCAAACCGTTCAATAGTACAGACCATTGATATGGGGGTTTTGACCAATTTGGGTGCCCAATTTTTAGTTGAAGACTGTGACTGGTTGGTAGTTTTAACCATCTTGAAAAATATGAGAGTTGGGAAGGATGACATCCCATATATGAAATGGAAAATCATCCAGCCATGTTCCAAACCACCAACCAGGTGATTTTTATGTTGACCCATTTAGAAATGCTAAAGGCCATATTTTTGAGCGTGTGAAAGTACCGGAAGCGATGGACGAGACCCCCACAAGGCGAAGCAACACCACTCAAACTCAAACTCTGGACTTTGATTAACAAGCAGAAAAGTTGCGCATGTCGCGTACTTTCCCAAAGTACCATCTTGCCCAGTTGAACAATGTTATACTGTAAATACCAAGAAAAATGCTGGAAAACATGGCAAAATCATAGGAAAACATCATATATCAATTAGAAACCCAAAAAATTCTAGTACTCCCAAATTGTCTAAATCCTTGGAATTTGGGATGTTCCCAATTTTCGAGACCCAGTCCTTGTAAGCATCACCTGCCATGGCACCTCAGTGCAGGTCATCGTGACGAAATAGCCATGGTTCCGAATTTGCCCCACCTATAGGCACTTGCTCATGGCACTAAACAACAAAAAAAATGTAATTATGTGAAAGCCATAATAGCTTAACATAAAAATCATATGATATCAACTGATATCATATATGTATATTATATGATATGGTTATTTAGTAGGCTAATTACTAATTCCACCCGTTTTCTCCGGTACAATTCATCAAAATGCTGATTTCAGACACACCAAACCACCCACCGCTTGCACTTCCTTCTCAAGCATAAGGCTGAAGCCGGTTCCAACTCTTGGGGAAATGCGCCGGCCAAAAACAGGGGGATCGTATCATGTGGCCACAAACTCTCCAAGTTCACCATCACCCAAGTTCAGCATCAAGTTACACCCAAGCAGCTGGTGCATTTTTTTGGTCACATGGAGGTTTCCGTTTTGTCGGGGTTTTCCCCACAGTGCCATCCATGGATCCAAGGCTGGCACCAATGGATTCTGCGGGCACGTCAGGGGGAAACATCACCCAACGCCTCATTTTTTGCATGGAGGAAACCAGGGAGGAGTTCCAGCCACCGAAAGCAGGTTGGGTATTTGGATGTATTTGGATACCCTCTGGTAAACTAACATAGCTATTGAAAATGGCCATTTATAGTGGATTTACCCATCGAAAATTGTGATTTTCCATAGCTATGTTAGTTTACCAGAGGGTAATCCATTTATATCTGGTCGGTGGTATACCTACCCCTCTGAAAAATGATGGAGTTCGTCAGTTGGGGTTACAATTCCCGATGGAAAGTCATAAAATTCCATGGTTCCAAAACACCAACCAGATTATCATCTATAAATCACCAACCATTTCCAACATAACTATGGAAAGATCCACCATGCTATCAATGGGTAAATCCACTGACCAGATAATTTTATAGATGGGATTTGACGAGATAAACCACAAAATTATCCACTGGTTTTTGTGGACTTACGATCGCCAGGGTTACGAACCAGTTGCTAAGATGATGAGATGATGGGGTAATTCTTCACCATTTTGGTCCGGGTACTTGTACGGAGGATCTAGATGGGTCTAGGGCTAGGGAATCATCTAAGCTGTGGAATTTCCCATGTTCAACTTGTCAATCACCTCTCCTCATGGTCTTATGTCCTGGCTGCCAGGTTTGATTGCTGCTGGTGGAATCACCCTGAATCAGAGTCCATTGCCATTGCCCAAAGCTTTGTGATTGGCCCAAAGCCGACAGCTTTTCAAGGATGGTCCAAAAAACTCGCCCAAACTTGGCGAATTCACCTTGAAAATAGCTGAAGATTTGCCGCCATGTGGGGGCATTCCCCCGAAACCAAGTCCCTCATTTCAGGGTCATTATATTATAATTCATCCACCCAAACCCTCTGTATCCATAAAAATATCCTGTTTGATCATCCCCCCACAGCATCCAGATCCCAGCCGATCACAGGTCCGGTCCCCGAGCTTTCTTCCGCACAACAAGGTGTTCCAAGCCGACGACCATTTAGGATCCTGCCGTGGCCACGGAGACCATCCAAGTGGAAAAGTGGATGGGAAACCTGGAGAATGCGGAGAAATCATCAAATTTTAGAATATACCCTCTGGTTATGTCAAAATAGCTATTGAAAAGGGCCATTGAAATAGTGAGTTTTCCCGTTAAAAAAGCTGATTTTCTATATAGCTATGTATCAAATTACCAGAGGGTAACTTCGAAATTCATATGAAATCCCAGTAAACCATATGATTAAATCCCAGTAAATCCTTGTAAATCCCAGATTTGTTTAATCTTGTAAATCCATATGATCTTGTATTATCCTGCTTAAATACTCTTTAGATCTTGTCTGAGGAGTTCACCGAGTACGGTGATCCGCAGTCATCGCCATGGATGTTTCTGGGCAGTTCCGGAAGAGCCTTTTTGCGACCGCCTCAACGAATAGTGTCTGGTCTCACATCAGCTACCCGGCCTGGTAAACATACAAAAAGCATCAAAAAGCTATTGAAAATGGCCATTTATAGTGGATTTACATGGATTTACAGATTGAAAATGGTGATAGCTATTGAAAATGGCCATTTATAGTGGATTTACATGGATTTACAGATTGAAAATGGGGATTGTCCATAGTTATGTTAGTTTACCAGAGGGTAAACCCAAAGGGAAATCCCAATTGTCTTTGCGGAAACCTACCTGGCTGTTTTTTTTGAAATGGACATTTCCTAAGTCATGGGGGTACCCTAATCATCCAAGTCATGGATGATCATTGAAACCAATGGTGACTTGGCGATCCAGCATTTTCAGAAACTCCCATATCTGATGGATCTGATGTTCATCTCCAAAACAAACGTGTATAATGTCATATATTGTCCATAAAAAAGTACGTATGCAACTACCCGCCTGGTTTCATAAATGTCCCTATCTGGTATGTACTATAATTATCCCCAATAGATCACAATAGATCCGAGGTAGATACCCAGTTGTGGCTCCCAACTAGGCCTTGTGCATGTTGCTGCCGGTTCGATGGCCACCCACCTGTCGGTGAAACAACAGCATGGAATCAGGGTACGGAGGGTCTAGGTGCATGTAAATTTACATTCTTTCTGTTTTAGTAAGATATCATAGTATATATATATATATATATATGTATTATCTATATATATATATATAATATTATATATGTATATGTATATATATATATATGTATTATATATAATTATATATATACTGTATATGGCATGTATCTTTTCTGCATCTCTTTGGGGGTTGCTATGATTCGACTATGATGGGTTTTCCCCGGATCATTACCCCCCCAACCGAAATGCATCGCTGCGGGGTCAGGGGACTCATGGCCGAAGGGGTCCCAAGGGGTTGAGATGGATGTCACTATCAAAATTGGAAGTATACTGGCCAGCAAGGGGGGAGCAATAAGACTGCGGATGGTCAACCGACAATCATTGCGAGTAAATATCCGCTGGACATGGAGGGATGTTGTTTCAACATTCCCCAAATAGCTACAGAAATCAACTGGGTTCAAGGCTTTGACCCGTCCACACACCCTGACTGTCAACTCAGCGCACCAAAACAAAGAGGTGACAGGAGAGCGGCAGAAATTCGCGCACCTGTCGTGATGAGGGCTGCTATCCTGCTGAGTTCATTCACCAAGTAGCAACTATACGAAGGGGGGAGTGTTTGGAGTGGCTTTTTATCTTTTTCACCACATTCTTTGGGACCATTCCACCGTGCCTTCCAAACAACAGGAATGATGGTATGTATTGGTATGTAATCAAAACATGGATCAACTGAATCAAGTAACATGTCAGAAAACAATGACCCACCTGGTAGAAATTCGAGACATCACCGACCATCGTCAACCCAACTAAATAGTAGGCCAGTGCCCAAGTGCGTAGCTTGACAGGTACCAAACCCTCTGATGGCCCCCAACCCAACTGCCCCAACCCGTAACGGTGTGTCGTTTCTCCAATCTTTGCGTAGGCAAAAGTGGAGCGGCTCTGGCGCCCTGGAGCCCAGCAGGATCCAATCGATGGACCATAGATTTGTCCAACCGAATTGAGGCCCTTCAAATTTGGGGCCGGAACAGTCCAACACGCGCCGCGCCGCAAGGGGCGGAATCAATAGCTACCAGACTGAGATAGACCATGATGGTGCAAGTTACATCAAGTTACTGTAGACTGTGGGGGTCCCCATTTTGGGGACACACCCGCGGTGTGTAGTGCAAGAAAGGCGCAAGCTGCAAAGGCAGCGAGCGCCACCGAATGAGTCTGCAAGATAGGAATGGGGAGATCAAAATGCATGCATTGAGTTAACCATGGCGGTGTTCATGCACGTGCTATTTGTTTGTTTTGATCCATCTCATAAATATCGATCAATTGGCTTAATGATGGTTCATCATCTGGCTCAATAGGGGAAGATTGTGATGTCTCGCAATGGTTCTCATTGTTGAAGCCTCACCAGTGAATGTGGCTAGTTACCATCACCCCAAACTTGCAGCTTGACCCTGAGAACAGCATTTCTTTGGAGGAAAAGTAATCTTCCAACCCCCTCTGTGGCAGGGTCTATGTCAATTAGATAGTAGAGTTTCTTTGTTTCTGATTTTTTTCATAGGCCTTGCTAAAGCTCCTTGTAATGGAAAGTTCCACTGATAGTCATTCCCAATTCCATGCACAGTCGCGGCCACTGAAGGTCTGCCAAAAATGATGCCTCATAGAGCCCTAAAGAAATCCAAAAATAACTGGGAGAAGTTGGTTGCAGGATTACATAAAACATTCCACATCAGTCTTTTCTCCAAAAATGATGGCGTTTCTATTCATTGCCCTCTTTTCCTTGGAACCCATTGGTTGAATCCCCATGACTTCTTGGAATCATCCGTTTGGTTGGCATCTCCAACCACCATCTCCATGATATTCCTTCATGATAATGTCAAGCCTGGATGAATAAACCCCTAGGCCCTAGGTTGTTGAATTGGGGGGATACCATTGAAGTATCAGATGAAATGACTATTTGGGGAGTATCCCCCTAATGAAAATAAACCATGGTTTGAATCTTATCCGGGGTTGACATTATTCCATCAAGATTGTATCATAGTAACATTCCGTTTCTTGTAGCCCCATTCTGAAGTACGGCTCCTCAGGATCCATTCAAAAGGCTGCCCCGCCAAGGACTGCGGCTTTCAGTGCTGCGCCTGCAAACGCAGGGCTTGTTTTTTTGGGGGGGATTGTCGCCTGGAAGTGGGCCATGACTCAGTGGTGTAGGGGATTCTTCTCATGCTCCTCTACAGTATCCAAAGATGATGTCATTTTTGCTTGCCAAGGAATGAAATCGACAGGAAGTGGGGTAGAAGCAAGATCAAATGGGGCCACTCGTCATGAGCCTACCTATAGAATGAAGATCCCCCGTCTCCACCAATAGATCAATTTTGGTGATTTTGGGCTTATCCAATCTCGAGGAGTTACGAGTTTCCAAATAAATGCCACCATCTCATCCACACAGCCCGATCATACTATCTCCGGTGGGGCCGCTCCCTTCATTGTTGGAAATTGATGCTAGCACCAATTCCATCCCTCTGATATTTTATATTCCCCTAGACCCCCCTGGTTTATCTGGTTTGGTATTGGATCTATCATCTATTTATTTGGAGGCCCATATGGGAGGTTTTCCACTCGTCTCAGGTGCCAAACAGCTCCAAATTTCGCGCCGTTGCCCTCCAGTAAACTAACAATTTGCCATGGAAATGCCCCATTTATAGATCAGCTCCCCCCCAGTGTATAAACTATATAACATTGCTATGCAAAATGCAACCTTTTAAGCGCGACTTTTATTAAAACTTTATCTTTTGAGAATGATGATTTTCCACAGCAAACTACAAGGAGGGCCCTCAATGAAGAGGGCTGAAATCAGCGTCCGTTAGCGACCCCAAATTCAGACCTTTTGCACACACAGCAGGAGGCCCCACGTATAGGGTCACAGCAGCGGCTCCCCCCCCGCACCCCCAGGATCAATGTTGTTTCCTGGTGTTAATCACTGCAGCAGCCAACTTCCAAAGCGTCAGGTCTTCACAGCAAGACATTTTCGTCAACCTTGATTCCGGGGGGTGCAGGGGGGGGCCAACATGTGGCCGGAAAGGCCCTTTGAATTAGGAAGAAACACATGTGCCGTCACGGCAGGTGGCACATCACAGCTGCAAGATGAAATGCTTCACTGGCCGTTGGCGATGTCAATCTTTGCATTGGCTCCACTGCAACACTAGCATGCTTCGGTGTGAAACTACTAAGCACGATGTCACAACTTTATATTGGCTCTGCCGCAAAACTACTATGCTTCTGTGTGAAAACTACTAAGGGGAATTTCAAACTTTGTATTGGCTCGGTGGCAAAACTACTAAGGAATTGTTCAATGGACAAAAAAGGAAACACTTTCTTCTATTTCTTTTCAATTGGCAGAATTCCTTAGTAGTTTTGCGTCCAAGCCATTGTGATTTCAATTTCACGGGTTAGTAGTTTTTCATGCGTGCATGAGCTGTGACTCTGCCGTGCCAATGCAAAGTCTGCGAAAATGGTTGGAAGTATCCTTAGTAGTTTTTTGGGGCCACAGCAAAAACAGGTGCCAAAGCACGCAAAAACGTGTTTTTGATGCCTTGGGAGACAGCAGTCGTTAGGTAACCTGCCGCGTGTGACTTCACCACATTCCTGTCTGACTCCTTTAGAGACAGCAGTCTCAAGTGCTTCAGTGAGACATATAGTTTTGAGGAAGCTGCTGCTGACTCCTCGGGAGACAGCAGTCACAAGTGCTTCAGTGAGACATATAGTTTTGAAGAAGCTGCTACTGCTGACGGGTCATTTTGAAGGCCAGGAGCCACGAGAGGTCTTGGGTGCTCAGTTTGCCCGCCGATTTCAGGACTCTGCGTCGTTTTTCTCCCGGCGCAGGGCTGAAACAAAAAGATTGAAAGTACAAGTGGTGCGATGCAGGTGCAATGCAGCTTCACCAAAAAAAACCTGAGATGGGAAAGATGAAGGTGCAAGTGGCACGATGGAATGTCAATACAGCTTCACCAACACAAACATGGCACACAAGGATGAAATTGAACCAGCCTGGGCCTTGACTTCTCGACTGGTTTGCTGCAGCTGGCGTTTCAAGGCCTGCCTTTCAGCTTTCAAAGCAGCTATACGGTCATCCATCCCGGGCACATGGGCTACAGCAGCACCTTCCGCAGCATCCCTTTCCATACCAGCGGCGGCAGAGGACATGGCTATAGATATAGTCAAATTGTGTTTTCTGCGACGAGCTGTGAGCCGTGCTAGCTGCAGAAGCCATGCCGTCTGGACAGCTTCCATGCCAATTTTCTCAAACTGCACAACTGGAAGATAGTGTGACAAAACATGGCCGGTGGGGGCCCAAAACTGGGGGCTTGAAAAGTGATGCCAAAGGGACTCCCGTACCATGTACCCCCATAGTATTATGGAAAAAAAATCTTTGTCCTATAGTGCCACCCACGTCTGCAAATCTGTTGGATCCACCCGGAGCGGCAGCATCAAAGAAAAAGAACCTTATACGCGTGCGCCATTTGGCGTCGCGCTGGCCAAACGCACTGCATCTGCTGGGGTGTCGGCCTGTCAGGCCCAGGCCAAGGCACCCCTGCACCCATCAAGTGTTGAAGCGCTTTGTGCACTTGACCTGGGCCATTGCAGCCCACTGCATCGAAGCTTTTCTGCCATTGCCGAGCTGCCCAAAATTCGTGAGGGGCTTGCATGCACTGCCATAGCCAGGCCTCTAAACCATGCTCTGAATATGAGCGCAACTCCTGGTGCTTCCTTTTCAAATATTGTTTAAAAGGGGAGAAGCCTTGCAGATCAAGCGGCTGTAGGTAATCCGTTGTCTGCGCTGGGATATATACAAGCTGCAGCTTGCACTTGCGTGCCATTGCCATGACCTGCCGTGGCAGGTGTGCCGGCGCACAATCAAGGAGTACAACGCCTTGTTTTGACGGAAAACTTTTCAGCACTTCTGCGATCTCTTTGAGAATTTGGGCACTGTTGGCAGCAGAGGTCCAAGCGGACTTTTGCCGCAAAACACGCAAACGAGTTTGTGGCAAAGCGCGCTGGGCGCGCAAGAGCTTCTTCGTGAGTTTCACCTGGGTGCCAATGAAAAAATGAGGCAACTTCCCTTGGATGTGCTTGCAGTTGCAAATCACGCTGACATAAGTAAGTCCACGCACCTCGAACATGTTGCTTCAGCACCTGTGCATGCGGCTGTTTGCCACCTGCTGTCCGTGGCTTTGCCACACATCCAATAGGCGGTGTCATGGTGTGGCCGACGCTAGTCTCATCCAGATTTATAAAAAGTAGCTCCCTGTCTGCGAGCCTGCTGTGGCAATAGCAGATGGCCCGCCAAAATGTCATGACCTGCTCGAGCGTTGCAGGAAGTGAAAGACAAAGCCTTATTATATATAGGGTCCCCAAATATAATTCCGAGGGAAGAAATTGATTGAAAATGGGGGCCTATTTTTGGTGCCAGATTCTGGCCCCAAAAATGGGACCGCCCAACCGGGATTAAGTAGGCTTATACAGGCATGAAACATGAGGGGGACCCATTTTTGGGGCCACAT